GTATTTTCTGAGCAGCTAAATAGAAAATGAGTGATGAAATAGTTACAGAGGAATGAGAGAGAAGGATCATAAGGATATCTGGACTTAAAGAATAGGAAGAAGACGAGATAGTTGGCAACTAGTAGCAGCAGAAGGAAGTTAGCAGATGTTTCTGTGGGCAAGAGGCAGCATTTACAAGTTGCAACAAAGGAAATTCCTATCTGACATACAGAAAAAAATCTTCACCAGGATAGTGGTTCAGGACTGGAGCAGGTTTTCCAGAGAGGTTATGAAATCTCAGTCTTTCAAGATTTCAGAAATTCAACTGAAAAGTCCCTGAGCAACCTGATCTAACTCTGAGGTTAGCCCTGCTGTGAGCAGGAGGTTGCACTAAGTGAGTTCCCAGGGACTCCCCAATCCAATCTTCCCATGACTCAAGGAGAATTAGGTAGTTTGTGAGCGTGAGACCACACCTGGCAGTGCCGTGTGAATAATTATATTTCTGTTGCCCAAAGTAACATGAAGTACTTAATCTTATGTACAATTGTCCATCAATTCCCTATTTTCACATGGATTCTGTTTACTTTTCAATGTCTTCTCTACTTGGTAGCTTGGAGAGTTTCATTGCCTTCAGTGAACCTGAGATGTCAACCAGGGAGCTAGAGGACAGGGTCAAAGGGCTGTTTTCACAGTCCAGTGAAGCAAATACTAAAACCATGCTGGGCTCCACCTGGACAGAAGCATGGACAGGACTCATGGAGGCTTCTTCAGTGAGGAGGTCTTCAGGATGAGTCCAAAACAGAGGGCTTGGTGTGGGGAAATATTTCCTTCACAGGTCTGGCCCAGACATCACATGGGGAGTTGGGTCTTCTGGTGGTATCAGCTAGGTGAGATACAGACATATGTGTTCAGTAAACACATATCTCTTGACAGTAATTTGCTGGTATAGACATATCTTTGCTTTTTCAATGCACATATTCATTATATATGTTTACATGCATGTGTAAATATGAAATACATAAATCTAATAATCCCCCAACATATTAGTCTTCATTTCTGCTCCTGTATTTCTCTCCCCTCCAGCATATAATAAGCAAAATGGTGTCAGTTGCCCATCTTAGCCTGGTCAGCGCCCACTGACCAAGCTCCACACTGCCATGGCACACAGCATCCCAGGTGGTGCTGCCTGCTCTCCCAGCCTGTGCTGAAGGCTGTCACCCCAGCCAGCCACCACTGCTGCTTAGGGCATCTTCCCGTCCTCTCCAGCTCATGGCATCTGATTAATTATGATCCCTGTAATTGTCTCTTTTTACAGTGAGGAATGTTAATCCTGGGTTTTGTTCCCTCTTCCAGTTTTATAAACACCATAATAAGGAATATTTTTTCTTGTCACCCTGACTATTTAGACTGCAAATTTGGGGAAAGGTATGATCTTGATAACTGGGGGGTGCCTCAAGAATTCATTCAGAAACAGACTTTCTCAGACACTTTCCACTGTCCCACAGAAGAAACAGCTCTTCCCTCTCACCAGGGGTCATGCTGCAGCAGTAGGGGCCATGTAAGACATACTGTTCTCAGATATGACATGAAAAATTACTTCTAGTTTATTTATGAAGGAAGTCCTAACTAAGCAATGCTGATGTGCCCACTTGGTTGGAGATGTGTCTGAAACCATAATCTCTGGGAAAGAAAGAAGAGAGAGTCATAAAAGCAGGCAGCAGGAACTTTATTGCTGGAGAGCCTTGGCCCCAAATTGGCAGGGACCTGTGTGGGGACTCAGCAGGGAGCAGCATCCCCCACCCCCCTGAGAGCAATAAGCTATTTAAACAGCACACGCTGTACTCTGGGTTAGCAGGAGTTTGCATAACTGTGCAAAGCCCTGGAGCCTGGGATCTTCTAAATAAATGCCACATTTATCAGTATCTAAAGCAGAAGAACATCCCACCTACCCTTCCCCAACCCCATAAAACAGTGTCATTAGTGAAGTCAGATAGAATCATTTGTTTCTTTAGGGGTTAAAAAAATAATCCACAGCCACTGCCAGGAAGAGGCAGAACTAAACATGCATCAAAGAGTTAGAGCCAGAACACAGATATAAAGCTAAATCAATCATCAAAACAGACCGCAACGAGAGCATATACATACAGAGCAAGAAAGAAAGTGAGAGGGCGTTTTGTTTGGGTAGCTAATGTTCTCTGGACAAGGAGAGAGAAATTCTCTTTTGGGTTTTTAATGCCACTCTAAATATTTATAGCAAGATCATGGCCAGCTGGTGAGGTGGTGGCAGGAAGTAAGGAGGGGAGGATGCATTTTCCCCAGCACCCCAACATTATTCTCCGGGTTGCCTTTTTACTCGAGGAGAGGGAAGAGGCTGAACATTGCCATGTTAACACTCAAAGTGACTCATCTGAAGGAATCAAGTCCAGTGGCTCAAGCCCTTCCCCTCCCTCACCTTGCCTGGCCGTGCACACACACATGTGCACCCACACACACTGATTGTGTGGGAAGGGAAAATGCCACAGCCTCCAAAAATCTATGCCAGCCCGACTCTACCCTGTCGTTAATGCGGGTCTGGGCCTTTGGGGTTTTGTCTAGCCTTCAGGCATTTCACCATGTCGTTATGCTGCACTGAAAAGTCTCTGGGAAAGGCCACATACGGTACAACCCGTGATGCAAAGCTGCTGTTTTTAGAGGAACAGACTGCCCCCATCCCTGCAGTCTGCTTGGCCGAGGATGCGGGGGCAGGAACATATGGAGGACTGCAAACACCAGCGCAGCACAGGAGTTGACATAAGGGCACTGTGGCTCCCAACGATTTTCGTTCATCTGCCTTGCTGTGACTAGACGCAGACATGACTCACCCGTGAGCTTTGGCTTTGAAAATATGAGAAGGAGTTTTGCTTTAACCTTGTGTTTCCTTGTGGTAGAGATGCTTAGAAATGACATTTTGAATCCAATCCCATCCCATAACAAAGGGAGGAATTTCAACATAGATGAGGGGCCCAATCCGGTTACCCAGACATAGGCAGCCAATGCCATTTTTCTTGAAATAAGCAGGAAATTCGCACAGAGCTGGGACACATCACACTGGACCTGCTGGAGATCCCAGTCAGGGATCAGCTAGGGTTGTGGAGGATTCTCTGCTGGCACAAGGCAGATCCCAGCCCTAGGGATGGATTTAGTTTCATCATTGCAGATACTCGTATGGGAGTGTTAAATATGTGATTAAGGCAGCAGGGCACCTTGGAGACCTAGGAGTGCCTGGAGGACTGTTCACCTGCCCAGATATAGGTGATACTTACTGGTGACCTGAATAACTCATCAGACTCAGTTGTATTGACTAGACCTCACTGGCAGCAAGAGAAGCTCAGACACCTTGTTCATGTGCAGATACCTGCAGTTAGGGACCCCATCAAGATGTCTGTGCTGGGGAGTTAAGTGCCACCCTGGGGCCTGCCAACCCAGGACCCTGGTTTCCAGCTTGCTGCACTCACTTCAGCAACCCGCTCCAGTCCTCCCACCCATAACACTGAGCTTCCTCAAGCAACCTGCTTGAGAATTTCTTTCCCAAAGGTTTCAGAGAGCTGAGGTCCTTACAAAAAAGGCCACAACATATCATAAACTTCTCCAAGAGTGAATTTCACTCTCTGCTTGGCAAATGTAGCTGGGCTCTCCCTGCCCACCTTCGGGCAGCCCTGGCCACAAGGGTCCTTGTGCATCAGCATCTCCTACCAGACTGCAATGGGCCGATGCTCCCCAGACCTCTCCATAAGGTGGAGGCATGGTCTATCCCACTGGAGTCCCTGGAAGCCCTTCTCTCTCCCTTCTTCTCCATGAAACTACAGTGACAGTGCATTACCTAGTGCGAGGCATTGCAGACTGTTTACAGGCTTCTAGAGTTCCCAGGCATTTCAGGACAGGGTCCTGCCGCTGTTTCCAAATGGACAGCCAGGACTTTTATAAGTGAACTTTCCTCTCCGTGTCTATTTATTATATGTAAGCATTTGCCAGAAAAACACCACTCGGGCATGCTCAGTACTGGCCAGGTCATTGCAAAAGGCAATGGCAGCGTCACATGTGATAACAGCGAGAAGCCCGCGTGTGCCTATTCTTAGCGCTGGAATGTATACAATGCCCCACCGCCTCGCCGCTCCTGCGCACAGCTCCCGAAAGCGGCAAAAGTGACTTCAGAATAAACACATCCAGAAATCACCCTCTATGAATCACTTACCAACTGAAAGAAACGTCCTGTGGGTTTATAGGTTTTTATCCAGGCTCTAGCTATGGAAAAACTCAGCAGAGAATAAACGACAGAGAGTAAGTGCATGCAGTGAAGGACAACAGAAGGTAAACGTTTCTACCCTACCATTTCACTGCAGGTTGAGCAGTTAGCCATGACAGTAGATACTCATCATATTGTTCTGCCTGGCACTTAATTTAGTCATTGTGTGTCTGATTAACATAAAAAAACCACAGCTAAGCAGAGTTAATAAATAACCATTTTAACGCAGATTCCCAGTCTCTAGGGTTTCTTTTGCCCTGCTGCAGAGTTCAGCTCTGCCAGATTTACATTCTTTGGGAGTGACTAACTCTAGAAGAAAGAGGCGCAAGCTACTAAACTGCTAATACTTTAAAATAGTGAATAAATGTCTAAGCACATTTATTCAATGTGATTAAAATGAACAAACCGATTGCTTCATCTGTCCAGCTTTCATCCCAAATTGGTGAGATAACTTCAGTGCTTTTGCTTCTTGCCAGGGACACGGGCAGTACTGACCTCAGAGCTGCAACTTATCTGATAACTTAATGAAAATTTTAAAGGGTCTTAGTGACCTTTTAGCTTCTTTACTATTTTCCCACCGTGCTTACCCATGTTCCGTTTTTATGTGTAACAGTGAATGGATATTTAGAGCAACATCAAAGTCTTGATTTGTTCCCTTGGAGCTGGATATTTCAATAAAAGCTGCTAAGAATTTGAGTTTTTCTGCCAAGTCCAGAATTTATCTCTCTCCTATTTTGCTATGGAGGAGGGATCCACTGAAGAGTTTCTCTTCAAAGACCAGGATTTCTCTTCTGAACTGCTGAGGCAGCTGAATGCTTTGCGGCAGAGCAGGATGCTGACTGATGTTACCCTCTGCTCTGAGGGCTTCGAAATTCCCTGCCACCGAAACGTGCTGGCTTCCAGCAGTCCATACTTCAAAGCGATGTTCTGTAATGACTTCAGAGAGAGTCGCCAGGCTAAAGTCACCCTGAAGGGCATCAATGCGGAGATTTTGGATCAGATTATCCTTTACATTTACACAGGGGAGATTCTTATATCTGCTGAAAATGTCCTGTGCCTGTTGGAGACAGCCTCCATGCTGCAGTATGCTAAGCTGTTTGAGGCCTGTTCTGTGTACCTCCAAGACAAGCTGTCTCCTGACAACTGTCTGAGCATGATCAGACTGGCAAAAGTCTTGAACTGCCAAAGCCTGAATAAGAAAGCCAAGGCTATGGCTTTGAAATGCTTTCCTGAGGTGGCTTCTTCTGAGGACCTGAAGGACCTTTGTCCCTTGGAGCTCATCGATTACCTTGGGGATGATGAACTCTGTGGGGAGGAGGAGCAGGTCTTTGAGGCACTGATGGTCTGGATCCGGCATGACCTCCAGGCAAGACAAGGCTACATCCAAGAGTTGTTCAAGAAGGTCCGGCTTCAATACGTCCATCCAACTTTCCTCTTCCACTTCATCGCCAATGACTCCCTCGTTCAGTCCTCACCCACTTGCAGGAGCATCCTTGAGTCAGCATGGAGACATATGTTTTCCTTGTACAACACCAACACACCTGACATCAAGCCCATGATGCACGTTCCTCGCAGGTACTCCAACCAAGAGTTCCTCATCATCATTGGTGGCAGGAAGGACAGCCAGCAGACGACAAGGGATGTCCTGCTCTATGATGACAAGACAAACCAATGGCTAAGCCTGGCCAAACTTCCCATGCGCTTGTACAAAGCCTCTGCAGTGAGCTTACACAGCAATATTTATGTGCTCGGAGGGATGCCTGTCAGCAATAAGAAAAGCCCAGTCAGTGATAATATTTACATTTACTCCCTCAAACTCAATCAGTGGAGGTTGGTTGAGCACATGTTAGTTCCACGTTACTCCCATAGAAGCTTGGCATATAAAAATTATATTTTATCTTTTGGTGGAATTGGTGAAAACCAGGAAATCCTGAATTCTGTGGAAAGATACGATAGCATCTACAACACCTGTGAGATCATGGCAAACATGCCTGTTGCTGTCCTTCACCCTGCTGTTGCTGCCAAAGATCAGAGGGTCTACCTCTTTGGAGGAGAAGACATTATGCAAAACCCTGTCCGGCTGATCCAGGTAATGGTCAGTCCTGCTTGTTGTAGGCAGTTTCATCTAAGGTATTCACCCTACTGAAGAAATGAAAAACCCCAAAAAACTTCACTGTGAGTTGCAGCAAGAGGCAGGATGAGTTGACAAATGGTTTCAGGGAAGTCTTGTTTGCAGGGAGCACTGAAAGTCTTTCACTTTTCCTTTTGAGTGTTTTTCAGGTCCAAGCTCCAGGGTGCTTCTTTGGGCATCAGTCAGCAATGCTGCTGGTTGGCACTGGGGTCAGGGCTGCTGCAGGTGATTCTGTGGCAGGAAGCAACCAACCCCTCTACCTGGCTTCATGCCTGTAGCATGAGGGCTGGAGCACCTCCTTTATGAGGACAGGCTGAGAGAGTTGGGATTGTTCAGCCTGAAGAAGAGAAGGCTCTGGGGAGACCTTACAGCAGCCTTCCAGTACTTAAAGGTGGCTACAGGAAAGATGGGGAGGGACAATTTATCAGGGAGTGGAGGGACAAGACAAGGGGTAGTGGTTTTAAACTGAAAGAGGGTAGAGTTGGATTAGATATAAGGAAGAAATTCTTGACTGTGAGGTTGGTGAGACATGAGACACTGGCACAGGTTGCCCAGATGCCCTCTCCCTGCAAGTGTTCAAGGCCAGGTTAGACGGGGCTTTAAGCAACCTGGTCTAGTGGCAGGGGGTTGGAACTAGATGATCTTTAAGGTCCCTTCCTACCCGAACAATTCTGTGATTCTACAATTCTATGATCTCACCAAAATTAGTGCTTTCCACTTGGCAGCCAAGCTAGGGTCTCAGCTGCACACCTGCTCGCTTGCAGCAAAAGCAAAGATTTGCAATCATTAGAGCGATTAGATTCTCACTCATCAAAGAGCCAGGACTTAAACTGACAGTTATTTCATATGAAAAGTTGCGTTAAAATTGTGGCTCCTGCCACATGTTGCTGGCTCTATGCCTGCTTTCAGCAGTTATGCTCTCTTAGGAGGAAAAAATACATGAAATCTTTTCTTATCTGATTTGATGCTTTAGCATCAAGTTTACCAACATTGTAGTGTTACTTTCCCCACGAGTCTTTTTTACTGGTTTAGGTGTTCTAACTAGGAAGGATCATTGAAGGCTAAGATGGCAGCCAGCACATGAGCAATATTTCTTTATGGTGATAACACTACTTGATTATCAGGAAGAAGGATATGTATTTATCAGTTAGTGGGGAAATGTCCCGGATATATTTGCTATATTAAGAAGCGGGTGACGTGATATAAAAGTTTGCATCACCCAGATACAGATGACTGAATGATCAGCATCTGGCAACAGCTCTTTTTCTCACATAAATTGATGACTTAGATACCACTCCAAGTCCCATCAACAAGTCCCTTTGCCAATCTGAGTGCATACCAGCCACCAGCACAAATATAGCAGCTGGGCAAACACGGCGGCTGCCAGCAGAGCTATATGAAGTTGAGGTTTATTTGCCCAGGAAATTGCTAAGGCTAAGGCAGGAATATACAGAATAACTGGAAAATGAAATGAAATGGCTTGCACTTTGGGAGAGCATTATCCAGAGGTTACAGTGATTTAATGGCCATGCAAAGATTTACAGCTGAGAAGCTTGCCTTAGTGCGTGTGCTAGCATCTCCTGAGCAGACAAGCCTGGAGAACTAGAACGCTTTCCAAGGGGACATATTAGGAAAATAAGTGGGTAACTTCTCAGATTTCCAGCAGTTCAAGCCAGAGGACTGTATTCATTAGGACAAAATAAAAACCATAAGTTCCTGTGTAATTACAATTGCCAGTTAAAATGCAACATAAACATCTGCATGTGTATATTTGTTTGTCAGGTTTACCATGTTTCTAGGAATACGTGGTTTCGGATGGAGACCAGAGTGGTGAAGAATGTCTGTGCACCAGCTGTCATGATTGGAGACCAAATTATCATCGTAGGTGGTAAGGGTTCTGCTTCACCCTCCCTCCCACCTACCTCTGCCCCGCTCCTGTGGGATTTCACAGCCTTCCTGCTTGGGGTGTTCCCTCAAAAACCATGTGGAGCTTGGCAAGGAAAGGAGGAGTGTGTCCACACTCCATACTCATCTCTCATGGGGACTCATGGACTTGGAAGTGGGGACAAGTTCTCCACGAGGCACATTCTTACCCCAAGTAGCAGGACCTGGGTGAGGGGAAACTGGGGAAAAGCCAGTGCAAGTTACAGCTCTGCAGAAGGGAGGAAGCCAAGGGCATGGTGGGCCTTCTCCTCCCCTGCTGACTCACGGCTTGGCCTTCCATGTCTGCTTCTCTTGCAAGGGTGGAGAGCATGGTTACCTCAAGGTCATGGACAGCTTGTTGGGGTGGGTGGGCTTACAGGGCTATGAGGCGTTGATCAGTCGTGTAGCTGCCTCCTGGGGGTACATGAGAAATGTCCAGAGATGGGTGTGAAACGCTTGGAGAGGGGAAACTTCTCAGTGTCTTTTTCAACCTGCTTCTGCCTGTGGCACTTGAATGGATCACATCTCATTGGTAGACAGATACACACTGACCTTAATGCATCTCCCCTGACCACAGGCTGGCACAAGAAAGTATGTGTTAGATTATTTAAGGGAAACATAGGGGAGTTTTAGCAGAGCAGAGGACTGAACCCAAATCACACAGGACTCATACATGATGTCACCTCCCAGGAGGAGGCCACTGCTACCCTTTGCAGTGAGAATAGGGGAGACCTGAGTCAAATGGTCCAAGTCTATCAGGCTCCTGCGCAGAAGATTACCCTGACCTCAGATCACAGTGCCCAAAACACAGTATTTTCAACTCTCTTCAAATGCATTAATGTGAAGGGCCTCTATTGACCCCTCTGCTGCTGATGAATTTAAGTTCTCAATTTATTTTTTATTTATCTAACAGAAGCCACAGAAATTCATGTTAACTTTAAACATCTTCAATTTTGCTTGAAAGTAGGGAGATTCACCATGGTCAGGTTTTATTTACCACCATGCCAAAACATTGGCCAAACACTCTTAGTTTATCAACAACAGTAAAACCCACAAAAATAAAAATTTCTCTAAAAAACAGCTTTCATCACATTTCAGGTCCTCTTTGCATGACTGGTCACATCATAACAAAGGGGGGGTAGGCTGGCCTAAGCAAGACAGGTCTTGATTTTTGTAAGGGAAAGTGGCTTCAAGGCCTGCAAAAAATGGCCCAAAGTAGTTTGTTTGCCATGGGAACTCCTGGTTATCTACAGGGATACATGGGCAGGGTATTGCTGGGTACCAGGCTTCAACATCTCCATTGCTCCAGGGCAATGGCCCTGGTACCAGCCCTTACCTCTCAGAATACGCAAGGTTACATCACCCCTGAGCTGTCCACTGGGTCACTGGCATGGTGGCCAGCACAGATGCGGCGCCAAGGGCTTTGGGAGTGGAGCAAGCACCGGTGGCACTGTGCTACTGAGTACCCAGCTCCATTCAGTAGACAGCTATGACCAGACAGGCATTCTTGTGGCACATCATCACTTCTCAGCTTAGATATCTTCATTCGGCCAAGTTATGTACCAGTATAATAGGTTTTATTGAAAACTAGCAGAAATAGATTATCATTCCTTCTGGTGGCCATAAACGCTAATTCCCACCTGTCTCTTCCACCTCTGGCTTTGCATTTAGGGTACACCCGGAGAATAATTGCTTATGATACAAAAGGCAACAAGTTTGTTAAATGTGCAGACATGAAGGACAGACGAATGCATCACGGGGCCACTGTCATCAAGAGCAAGCTGTACGTCACAGGAGGACGATGTCTCACCACGGACAATGTCATCAAGGACTTGGATTCCTTGGACTGTTATGATCCAGAGACAGACACATGGACAGCAAAGGGAAAACTGCCACACAAACTCTTCGACCATGCATGTCTTACACTCCAGTGTGTCCCCTGTTCTAAACTTCTATAAATGATCTTCGGTACTTCCCAGGACATTTTGTACTTTCCTTCCCAGAAAGGACTCACCTTGCTCTGCAGAGAGCACATGGGGAATCCTCATGGGGTCACACAAACTCCTGACCTTGAAGGCACCAGTGGCACTAGTCATTCCCTGAACACTCTGCCAGAAAGGTGATGAGCTTTTTGCTCATGCTGTATTCATCTGACCAGTATTGCATGTGATGCTGCTAAGTCCAGCCCAGAGGCCTTACCCAGAGTCTCAGCAGAAAACAGGAACAAGAAACTGGGTAAGAACCTGCAGGATTTGGTCTTGTACAGACTTTAAAATGAAAGCCGAATAGGAATGCTGGTATCACCAGGGAAAGTAAGATCTGAGTAACTTAGATTTGTTAACATGCAAACTCAGCTGCATGCCGTGGCCCTTTGCTGCTCGGTGCTGACCAGGCTTTCAATTTCAAGTGGTGGGAGCATTTAGAATAGGAAGCCCCAAGCTCTAGTCTTGTAGCCAGCCCAGCAGCAGCTGCCTGCATTAGCTATGGTAGTCATCTCATAAGCAATAAAATTTTAAAGTTCCTAACATCAAATTAGAAATTAGCAAAAGGCTGATGCTTTGATCTGAACTCTCACATAGCAATAAGATGCAGATTTGACTTTTCTGAGCTCCTCCTCTTTCACCATGAAGGGAAGATTTTTATTCCATCTGCCCGCTCTCTGAAGGAGCAGGCGAAGGTGGGATGGAAATGAAGATTGTCTGCATCTTCTTTTTCAAGGGATCATGTTTTGCAGGGATCTTTCTTCTCCTTTTGCATCAGGGATAGCAGTGGGGTTAGTTAGGAAGCCCTTTGGCTGATGGAATTCCTGAAATCTGGAATAGCAGAAAGGATACATGAAAGAAAAAAAAAAAGGG